ATAACCCCACAGCTTTTAAATGACGGCATGTCGGGTATTTCTACATAGATATGGGTAGGACCCGGAAAATGTTGTAAGTTGTAAGTCTTGAGGCTTGAGGGCACAGCTTGCAAACAAAACACCACTAACCGTCCAACATATTAAAATCGTTATTGTAGCAAGCATCCGCACGACATCCCAGCACTCGACACCATACTCCAACCTCCGAATTCCAAACTAGCTTCATGCTCACTGAAAGAGGGCACTCTTTCCCTGGGGCTCGGGCGAAGCCGTCGGATTCTCAAAACCCTGGAAATCGGCAATGGTAGCCTCGGAAGCTTTCAGAAAGCTATTTGTGTTCAGTTTCTTGTCTAAGGGCATGGCCAGGAGTACATATACATATATATATATATGTACACAGAGAGAAAGTATTGAAAGAGAGAGAGAGAGAGATAGATACACACAGAGAGTTATATGGGGTCTATAGGGTTCCGGTTTTGAGTTTCTCTGCTTCAAGGGGGTACCCAGTTTGATAGCTTCATCGCGATTACGTCTAGTGGTTTTGCATGGCCTCGTTAATGGGGTCTTGCAGGTTCATGGCTTAGAGTGCCGGTCCCGGTGGTCGGAGCCAGGTGCACAAGGTCCGCAAGGTGACCTGCGTTCCCACCACATACCACATCATGAGTTGTAGAACTTTCCGGGTGTAAACCCCGATGAATCCTGGCTAGGTGCCAAATCCAGCACCGAAAGCCAGGGATTCCTGACTGCCCCAGGCCCAAATATGTCGTCCGCTTGACCTTCTTCAAACTAGTAATTAGACCCTAAGCGGATCCATTTACCCAGACTTCTGCACCCTCAATTGCACATCCCAAAATGAACCCTGATTTCAAATTATGGCCTTGGGCAGTTTGGGGGCGTGGCATTGGCGTCTCCACTGCTGCAGCGCTCTTGCGTAGCCATGGAGGCATTGGCCACGACCTCCGCCCCAAATGAGGGGTTTTAACTACTCAGTCGAGGGGCGAGTTGAAACAAAGGCCACAGGGGGCTTCTTCCCAGGTTGTCTCTTGGTTGGAGTTCCTAAACCCGAACTAAACTCGAAATCAGGAAACCACAGAGAAACGTCAGAGAGCTTTTGCGTAGCCAAGCGTCCACGACCCTAATTTTGTTGTTTCATTTACATTGGCCGCAAAATGGTTGCTGCATAGGTCCTTATGCTAGCATCAATGAATTACTATCCTACATACTTCTGTGTATGATATATGTATATATACAGATATACACACATGCATGTGGGTATGTATGTACGTATGCATGTATGTAAATATGAGTATGAACAAACAAGTAAATCAACAGATAACCAAATAATATGTCTATCGATAGATGGGCACCTTGAGCCTGGAAATTCTAGCTTGGGGTTCCCCATACGCTCCTTAGTGGTTCCTTTTTGGGATTACCTGAACTAAAATATAAACCACAACAAGGAACTACTTAGGAGCCTAGGGATTCAACGGGGGTCGTCGATCCAAGCTTTCTGCTGAGGGCTGCGCGAGCATCAGCCAACCTGAGCTCCGGGTCATGGGGTTTTAGAGAACCAAGGGAGTGGATATATACTCACTCCATATACACTACACACTCTATGCTATGTATTATATACTATATACTACATTCTATAAACTGTATTACCCACTATATGCTAGATACTATACACTATATAATTAATGCGTTATCTAAATTTCAATGTTGCATACTGCTTGTATGTATGCTAAACGTTTTCGGGTTTACAGCTTTACGGCTCCAGGCGGAAAAACACCTTCTCGGTGAAACCTGCGCCCCAAACCCCCAAACCCCGAAAACCCCAGTATCGAAAAGCCTTCACGACGAGAACCCAACCCTGCACTCCTTAAACTTCTCCAGCAAACTCCGAAGCCCCTTACAGCTGTACCATCCCAGGCATCCGTGGAGCGTGCTCTAGAAGCCAATCTGTCATGATGTACAACCTCTATCAATACATCAGCTCTGAAACAGTCTGACACCCTGTCGAATACTGTACCAAAGATCCGGAAACCCCGAGAGCAGTCAAACGTGCAGTGCAGCAAAGCACGGACCAATGTTTCCACTAAGCAAAGGAGCAGACCCCGTTCGGAAATCCAAACAACCTGCCAAAGCCCTCAGCCTCAACCTCAAACCCCAAGCCCACAAGAGTATCAAGGACTCTGAATCGTCATGGCGGTTGTAAAAACCCCCCCTCCCCCCCCCTTCTCAAAAGAAGCAGAGGACCTGACTGCGAGCTTCCAGTCCTTCCCCGAGAAGGCCGAGGCGGCAAGGAAGACCGAGAATGCAAATCGCCTCTGATGCCATGGGTTCAGGTCTTTTGGGCTTCGGGCCTGTAGGGCTTGGGCCGTTTCGGGTTTAAGGTTCAGGGCTTTTGGGCTGAGGGCTTTGAGGGTTTGTGGCTTTGGGTTTTTTTAACGCTGATGGCATTGAGCTTAGCATCTGAAGCTTAGGACCTTAGGATGGAGGACCTGAGCCTGGGGTTTACGTTGGGATGAAGGTTGAAAACTAAGTTCCCCTGTACAGTAGCCGGAGATACGTACCCAAACAACGCCTCAACCCCGAAGGCTCGACATCGAAACCTGAAAGAAATCAATTAAGCAAGCAACATCAGACAGAATCCTAAACCGTCATGAACCGTCATTTCCTCAAATTAAAACCCCTATAATCCTGGAACCTACAACCTCAACCCCAGACAATCCCGGAGACCGTAAACCCTTAAATAAAGAACTATACCCTAAACCCTGAACCCTAAACCCTATACCCCAAACCCCACACCCTAAACCCTAAACCCTGAACCCTGAACCCTAAACCCCATACCCTAAACCCCATAGCCTAAACCCTAAACCCCATAGCCTAAACCCCTATACCCTAAACCCCATACCCTAAACCCTAAATCCTAAACCCTAAACCCTAGACCCCATAGCCTAAACCCTGCCTGGTGGTCTTGCCTCGGCCCGAGGAGGCCGAACACACCCAACTCCTGGCCACCAGGGCTTCAAAAACAATTCTCAAAGCTTGACACTTCAAACTCTAAGGCTTTTTTTCGGGTTTTTTGGTTTTTAACGTCCTTAGGGCCTTTTGGGGGGTTTTGTGCTTCATAAAAACCCTGATTTGACAGGTTTGGCTTCTTTGAGAACCGGCTTCAGGGCCCGGGCCCAAGGCTTTCGGGCTTGACCAGGGGTCTCGGACTCGGACTCACTGCCTCCGAGCTGCTAATTTTCCGAATGCACGGCTTTTTGGGGTTTGGGGGTTAGCCCAGTGTCTAATTAGTGGCTTTCGGGCTTGAGAAACAAAGGCGTCGGGCTGTGCATCCCTGAGCCTGATAAACTAGCACAAACTTTACGATTGCAACCTCTAGTAGCCCGAAATGTGCTGCCATGTTGAACTTTCTATGACATAAGGGGGGTGGTTAGGGCTCAGGGCTTCAGGGTGGTCATAACGTGATTCCTATGTTTTGAGTCTAGAGTTCTCAGAACACCGGTAGTAGACTTAGTATGCCGTCCTAGACTTGACTGCGGCGCCCTCGAGGAGTTTGTATAACATGCCTCGTTTGCCTAGAAACCAGCTGGACCCTAAACCCCTAAACCCCCAAACCCTAAACTCCCAAACCCTAAACCCCCAAACCCCAAACCCCCGAAACCCTAAACCCCCAACCCCCCGTGGACCAGGACGTCGAGGGAGGTCTCGAAGGGCGCCCAGCAGAGCTTGTGCCTCTCTGAGGCGGCATTTAATTGGCTTAAGCCAAAGGGGGGATACACCTCAAATCATAAGATTAAGGCCCCTATAACTGAAGGGAGAGTCCTGAATTAAGGGGTATTGGGCTCTCTGGGGGGGGTTGAAAGCTTGGGAACCAGGGAAAAACCCCAAAACCGATTCCGGGCAAATACGAGGGAGAAGCACGAAGCTTTTCTTGGCATCCACTGTAGGGATATTGCAGTGTGGGCAGGGCTGTTCTGCATTATCCTTCCGTCGCGGGTCCTTGCCTCAAAATGCGTCTTTAGATGTCGCGTCAAGGAAAATCCGGATCCTGAACCAAACGAGACCTTGAATTCAACACACCACAAACGACTGAAGTGACAAGTCCCCCAAGATGTGCTGAAGCTAGTTGCAATGATGATCAACTGGACTGTACACTGTACTCATGAACAGCAACACATGGCCCACCATGCATGGTATACGCTTTTCTTCACACTGTATGTATGTGTATGTATGTATGTATGCATACATACATGCATACATGCATACATGCATACATACATACATTGCATACATACGTGCATACGTACATACATGCATGCATGCATACATACATACACTATCGCACTGATGCATACTCACATTGGGTTTCGGGCTGGGATCTGACCTTGACACTCGAGTTCATCACGCCATAGTCATAACTCATCGTCATGACCGTCGCAATCGCCTTCATCATCGTTACAGTAAGACTTATAGGTACCATGAGAAGAACCCTGACAGGCGCTTGCTCATGGATTGATACTGCCAGGTTTTGCAGCTCTGAGGCATCTCTTTTGCTGCAATCTTTGTGAGGATGGTTTGGACAGCACAGCTCTTGGTGCTGGAATGTGCTGGACACATCCTTGTTACGTTAACATCTAATCTGTCAGGCGGTACTCTGTGCACTGTCGAACTTCGTGCAAAGGCTGGCAACTCGACAGCTCCACTTTATCTACTAACGGGTGCTATGTCAGTTGGCACGCTTGGTGGACGGAGTGCCTGCCCGACAATTTAGACTTGCAGCTCCTACAACGCTCCTACAAAACTTCGCAGAGGCCGGGCTGCCCTCGCAACACATACGGCTCGGGCATAGGCTCAGGGCTTGGGTTCTCGGGTTTGTCTCTAAGTTTACAGGCTGGGGTTGACACAACGTTGTGGGGCTTTGGCTAGGGTTACCACAATAAGGAGTCTTCATTGTCCAAAATCGTGCGCAGGAGCAGACCTGCTCTGCCTCACTTGCTCGAGAAGTACTCTGCCACACCCTCCGTCGTGGGCTTCATTGCCTTGGCGCCCTTCTTCCTTAGCCGCTTGCACAGTTTTTGGTCATAGGGATTTTGGCTTTAGGTGTTGAGCCTCAGAGTTTAAGGCTTGGGACTGTTGGGGGTTTAGGGATCGTTGGGCTTCTGACTGTCTTTATTATGTTTATACATCCATTGTATAATATCAGTCCCCTAGGCCCTAAACCCTAGACACCCTAAACCCTACCAAGCTAAGCTTCCACCCGGCCGGGCAGACTCGCTCATCTCCGTCCTTGACGCTCTTCTCGTGGAACTGCAGCGCGTCGAGGATCCGCAAAACTTCCTCCACTGGCGTCTTGCATTCAACTTGAAGCGGCTGAAAGTTATTTGATTGTTGAATATTCCTGCCGCTAAGGGAGTGCTTTCGGATTGGTAGAGCTTGGCAGAAACCACACAAATCAAGAACAACACCATGCGCTGCCTCAGATCTTTACACCTGCTATGCAGCTGCTGGACATACCCTGGACCAAAAAGGGACGCTTCATCGAACCTCACAGCCTGGCCTCGCCGCAACAAACTTCACCAGACCCGCCCAGACCGTAAATCCTACAGGAACCGCTAAACCCTCAACCATCTCCTCCACATTGCGTCCGAGTGGAAGGTCGTTCTTCATCTCAGATCGCACGATGCCCTCCTGGCAAGGAAGGTAAAGGAGGCCTGGTGAGGACCGGAAAAATGAAAACGATGCAACGACAAAGCCTGAACCCTAAACTACATAAACCAAGTGCGGACCAGGTCTCCAATGTTGAAACCCTTGCTGCCGCTGATAGTTAAACAGACGTTTTCATGATGAGACTAATTATGCCTCAGGAGGGTTGTATCATAACTTCATGTTGGGGAACTCCAAGGAAGACTATGGTACGACTGTTTGCTCTGACCCCTATATCCGTTTCATCTCACAAGGCTCCCTCCCGGCAGGATCGCCTGGACCATGAACACTAGACCCTACATCCAGGCAGAGTCTTGAGAAATGTACAGTTTAGGAGATCGGGAACTAACAGCTTCGGGGTTCCAGGATGTAGGTTTCGGGTTGAGACGTGTTGAAGAAGGGGAGCTGCATGGCAAGAGCAAGAACTTGGTCTGTGGCTTGGACATCCACAACCATGCAAGATGTCAAGGAAATGCCGACATCGAACGATACATTCCGAGGAAACTGCAGTTGAGATGGGCTGGTCGGGTCGGTCTAGAGTCTAGACTCAGGATTTGAGGTTTAGGCTTCAGGCTTGGGGATATCCATCCACCCGATGCCTTGTCGATGATGTAAACGGCCCGCAGCGCCAGGCCGTTTTCCAAGAGGCAGCCGTAGGCAGTGCTCACCTGCAAAACAACACCCACAGATTACTAAGAGCCTACGGATATCTCTTCGTGTATGCCCAAAAACCCTGAGGCCTTCACCATAACGGGCACAGAGCTGCTAGACTCAGAAACCTTACGTTGCCCGAAGGAGAGTTTAAACTGCACTTTATTGCGCTTCGATGTCGAACCAACTGCAGCAAGCCAGAAGAATCCCAAGCCCTACATTCTTGGCAAAGCCGCAAAAACCCTGCAACACCTTCCGATTTTCAATGCCTCGCAGCTAAACACTTCGCTCTGTGTGACACTCTGCATTCTCTTGTAAGGGTTCAGGCACGAGTGCTAACATGTTATTGCACCTGCTGTCTCAGGCTAGAAGAACCGACAGTGTTGGTTTACTTGGCGGAGGCTTAAGGCACGTCCAAGGCCCTGGTCCAAGGCCACATCCAGCTATGATGTGTGCGATGTGGCATCCCTTCATACCTGACCTGGTGATTGCACAACTCCATATTCGGGGCTGATACCTAGCCTTACCTGTAACCCACAGACCTACTACAAGGAATTCTAGCAGGACCGAGCTTCACAAATGCAGGTGTCGTTTGGGCGAGAGGTGAGCCCCATAGCCCTGACCCTGGGCTCGTGATCTGGCCTCCTTCTTAACATCCGCCAGCAGCGGGTGAGCGATGGGTCCGATTCCACCCTTGTCCTGCGGCGTGTTCTTCCACGCCTCCGGCCAGGTGATTGAAGCTTCTGTCAGAGTAGCTTGGTCCTAAACACCGTAGTTCATAGCCCTGAACCCTGCAAAAACCGAGCCCTGACCACGCAAATAGGCCTCTGTCTCCTGGGGTGGGATCTGCTGTGGAGCGTTCTATTCAAGAGAGGTACGGGTATGTGTCCCTGGCTTATGGAGTTTGTACTCCAGAAAGAGGATGAGGCTTCAGCCACAAGTTCTGACATCTGAAATGTCCCCCATCTGCACCTTGTGCACATGCTCCGTGTCGATGGACATGCCCAGCACCTCGACATTTCGATCGTCGAACTCCTGCATCAATGGCGTATGATTTGCTGGGTGGAGCCCATCGTGTGTAGAAAGTTTCTCTTACTGTTGTACAACGATGAAGAGCCTCCAGCTACATACGAATGGTGACCGGGGATCTAACCCTAAATTAAGGTTGCAGTGACAGGCCCATCCCTTCGCGAACGAATCTCCACGACCAAGTCTCAGAGTAGTTTGGGGCTTCAGGACTTTAGGAAAGCGTTCGCTTAACGGGGTTCTCATGGTGATACTGTAACATACCCCAAACCCTCTCTAAACCCTTAGTCAGGTTTACAATCATGGGCTTGTAGCACATCAACCCACACAAGAGCTCTCGAGTCGCAAACGCTGAAATCCTCAACCCCGAAGCGCGAAGCCCCGGTAAGCCTGAGATCCGAACAGCAAACAGTGAACACCCTAAACCCTAGACCCTAGACCCTAAACCCCTAAACCCTAAACCCTAACTGCCTTCTGGAGGTTTGAGAAAGCCACCAGCTCGCTGGCGCAGACGAAGGTGAAGCAAGCCGGGAAGGTGTACAGCACCACATACTTCTTGCCTGATCCATCGGGCTCAGGGGCTTATTGGTTTTTTAGGGTTTAGTTAGGGCTTATAGGTTTATAGGGTTTAGTTAGGGCTTATAGGTTTATAGGGTTTAGTTAGGGCTTATAGGCTTATAGGGTTTAGTTAGGGCTTATAGGTTTATAGGGTTTAGTTAGGGCTTATAGGTTTATAGGGTTTAGTTAGGGTTTAGGGTGAAGTATACCGGGCACCCATGGAAAAAGCAGGACTCTGGATTTTCGTGCTGCTCTAGATGAGGGTGTTCCTTGCGTCGTCATGTTATGAAGAAGGAGATCGCGTAGAGTACCTACCGACCTACCCAAGAAAGAGTTCAGAAGGAGTGAGGGTTGATTGCAAGCACACCTTTGGGAAGTGCCCTCAAACCATGGACGGAGAAGCAAAACGCAAACAAAAAACATACTAGTAGTGAGCGGAGAGGGCAAACACCACTGGCATGTTAGGATATGGAAGGATGATGACGGTGCTTTCAATGGTTATGGTGGCTACAGAGGCGACAAAGTAGCCTCTGCTCAACTGCTGCAACTCAAAATTGGCTGCACCAAGGTTGCTTGCCTCGGTAGCTTGCGAGCTCCACCTCCTGGAAGGAGTCATCCGGCATGCCTGGAGGAGGGTTTTTAGGTCTTCGGCGTTCTGGTTCGACAGTCCCACAAGATCAGCAAGAATGTCGACGTCGGAAAACCATATCTCGCCGACCACGCGCCTCACTCATTCCGCAAGCCCGGAATCCCTCAACCTGCAAAACTAAAATCTTAGACCCTATAATGATTCCTTTACAACCCCAACATTGCACGAAGCTACAACCTCAAGCAACCCAGATCCTGAACATCTAGTCCAGAACCCTGTTTTCCAAACAGCCCAAGAAGCCCCCAAAACTCCCTAAAACCCAGACCCCCAAACTCCCGAAACCCTGAGCCCCAAAGCTCCCGCGCCCTAAAAGACTGAACCTTGCCCAGGCGCTCGCCATCAGCTTGAAGTTCGGAGCAGGCTGCTGGATGAGGGATCCTGATAAGGGCTTAGGGTTTAGGGTGCTCCTGTTTCAGGGCTTGGGGTTTAGCGTTCTGGGGCTTCAGGGGTGTTCAAACGTCGGTCGTTGGAATGTCACGATCTTATGAGGGTTTCGGCTTCGGGTCTATGCAGGCCGTAAATAACCAAAGCAGTGAGGAGACTTTAACTCTGCATGACACATATAATATATAATATATAATATATAATATATAATATATAATATATAAGATATAATATATAATATGTAATATATAATATGATATAATATAATATAATATAATATAATATATAATATAATACAATATAATACAATATAATACAATATAATACAATATAATATGATATAATATAATATAATATAATATAATATAATATAATATAATATGATATAATATAATATAATATAATATAATATAATATAATATAATATAATATAATATAATACACACACATACACAGG